ATTGTACCAAAAAAAAAAAAAAAAACTTATTATGACTTTGATAACCTACACCACCCTAAAAAAATCATATCTCTACAACTTCTTCCCAGCAAAGGAGGAGGAGGGAATGGTCGGGACCCACCTCCCCCGCACGCTGGTGGAGATAAGAGACGTGCACCGCCCGCCGTCGCCAGAGGCCGGCCGGTGGGGGATCAAGAAAAGCATAAGCCAGCACGAGGTGGCCTCCGGCAAGGTGGTGGTGTCGTTCGGGGACACGTTCGAGCACGTGCTCCGACACTGGAACTTGGTGATGGCGGCCAACATCGCGGTGTGGGGCCGCAAGGTGGCAGTGGTGGTGTGGGACGTGACAGACGAGAAAAATCCTATGAGGTACGAGGGAGGACACATCCACTTCCACATGACACCGAGCGGGAGTTGTCTGCTGACTTGTGGAGAGGTGCTTAGGGCGCGCGGGGTCAAGGCCGAGGACGTCATCGGCCTATGTTGGGACTCCAAGGACTCGTGTTTTCATATCAAGCTTTTTCCTTCCAATGTTTCTTGATTATTATTATTGGAGAAGGCTACAATCCCTTACAGTATGGTTTCGTCGGTATTTTTTAACGGTAGATATACATGTGGATCTCTGATGTGTAGATAATCTATATTTAAAAAAATCAGCAGAACTATACTGTAACGGAACTATGGCATTCACCATTATTATTATTATTATTATTATTATTATTATTATTATTATTATTATTATTGGGGGTTTCTTGGGATTAACGAAGGGTTGTTGAATTTATTATACTCCCTCCTTTTTTAAATAAATGTCGTTTTGACTTTTTTGATTCATCCATTTTGCTATGTATCTAGACATATTAATGTCTAGATACATAGTAAAATAGATGAATCAAAAAAGTCAAAACGACATTTATTTAAAAAAGGAGATAGTAATAAAGGATTTGATGTGAAGATTTGTGTTGGGTTAATGTGAGATGATTTTGTGTTGGAGTAACAAGAAATTAGCAATATACATGTATTGTGTCTTTCTTGGGAATACCCAAACTAAATATTACTTTAATTTTATTTTTATTTATGTGTATAATACTGATACATGATTTGGAATACGAGAAATCTCTTTTGTTGTGCTTTGTAATCCAATTTGTCATTTCAATGCTTATATATCGACATAAAGATTTGGATTTATATCTATACATATGAGAACTATGATGATTATATAATACTTGAATATTATAAATATATTTAAAAGTTCATAATATTTATTTTTATTATCAGTTTTTTTATATGTGACGTATCAAATTAATCATCTTTTAATGAGATTAGCTTTGAAATTCATATTGCATATTTAAATAAATAAATATTTATGTGTGGCGTTATTAATGAAAAATTAAATTACCAATCTATATTACTTGAAATAAAATCAATCATCAGTTAATGGGAGGATTGTGGTTGCCCCAACGGTACAATTATAAATATAAATAATAAATATTTGACAGGAGAAAATAAAGATTGAAAGTATAACAACCCCATATATATACACACATGCACTTACCTCCACAGCCAAACATAATTTTTTTAAATTTCAAAAACACCATAACAGCCTGCCTCAAGACATGAAAGTATTACTCTTCCGCCTTCTCAGCATTTTCATAACCTTTCCCGCTTGGGGGTCGAAAATTACTCTTCGAAAACTGGGTTGCAGCTGCTCTGGCGCCATCGATTGCCGCCACAAGACTCGCCGGTTTTTCCTCTTTGGAGATACTTGAGGTGGCGACAGAAAAAGAAGCGATCGAGCCCGGTTTTAGAGAGAAATTATCTCGTGGATTTGGAACAGGAAATTTTACTGGCAGAGGAGGATTAACAAGCAGCAGGCCTCTGACAGCTGCTTCATATACCTATCAAGGCACATTTTGGGAGAAGATACGAAAACGGTCAAGTAAAAAAAAAAAAAAAACAAAGGGGCCGAATGAGGGGAAGTTTATCAGCTGAACTGGAGATATAATAATAATAGTTACCCTTCTTTCCAAGTTATAAACTTTTTGGTAACCCCGCATCTCAAATGGAACAATTAGCTTCTGCAAAGGGTTATATATATTGACATGTCATTATTACGAATCGCACAATTTATCACGTATAATTAAGGATTTTGTTTAGTTTACAGACAAACAAGAATAATAATGTATATGGGTGTGTGTGTTTACGAATTTAGGAAAGAAAGGAACCTGAGGCTGCTCACAGAGCCAACAAAATGGTGTTTGGCCTTCTACTCTGACCTGCAGTAGAAAGATTTAGATTTATTGATCAAACTTTACTGTTAAGTAACTATCGGACGATTATACTAATTTTTTAATCAAATAGAATGTTCTAGATGTTCACCGATGCAGGTACGGCCTCCCAGTTTGCAAGCTCTTCACAAGTAACACAGCCGACCACATCAACACAACCTGTTTAAAATGATGTTTTTTTCACGAAACGCAATGAGCCATGCTTGTCAGAATAATTCTTGCTTTCAACTCTAAATTTTTCTGTTAGTGTTGTAAAATTTCAAGTGATCAAATTGCAAATAGAGTAAACATGCAGTATGTGAATCATCGTCATTAATGTTGCACCATGTCAATGAACTATGGGCGAAAAATTCGTGATCTGATCCTCATAAAGGCATTAAGTTAGGATTAGATAGATTCAAAAAGCAGCGTCATAATAATCAAACACATAATCAGATACCTATAAGTCTCGAAACGGGATAATGCTCAGGGAATTTAAGATCCGTTACACCATCCATTGCATAAATTTCCCTGTAAAAGTCCTCCATTGCTTTTATCGTCTCTGGTTCTGGAATCTTGCCAGCAGCATGAATCCAGAGGCGTCCTTCATAAGCACAAAACTAAAGGGATTAAAAAAGTTGTGAAAAAATAAATAAGGAAATTGTCAGGTAAGCTAATCTAAGGCCAAGTCCACTTAATTTACTCATAAATGACTTTCTCTGAAGCTTAATGCTGTGACAGACCTTTGGATATAAATTGGATACGTCATCCTAAAATCCAGAAGTCAGATATTGTAATATAAAAGATTACGAGGACCAAAAAGATACAAACATTGAAGCTCAAACTAGAACTTTGAAATGCAACGTCGCCTCCTAAAGTTAACATTAAGATTAAATTAACTATTGTAAAGAAGAATCTCTTATTCTCTTTATAACATCTGGTATTTAGATCTACTAGGATTTCATTCAAGTTCGAGTGAAACGTGAAAAGTTTCTGAATTTCCAAAATTAAGATTCTACATCAATACAATCCTGACCTAATGGCTAAGAAACTTCAATAAGCATACGATATTAAACTTACGCGTCTATATCTCACTAACACACGTCAACCCAAAGTATTAACCATTATATAGATGAATATTGCCTATAGTAGATGAAATAGTGTTAAATAATTTAAAACCCAAGTCATATTATGATCTTACTACAAATACAAATGAACCAAGAATTCTTACTCACTACATTGAAGGAGCTATCAATAACCATTATCCCCCGAAAGGGAGAGCTTCTAGACCCAAAATCATATTGCATTTAGGTAAACATTATAAACATGAATAAAAATCGGGTTCAATTCAAAGTCGAACTTCAAAAACTAGAACGCTGCCTTCTCCTTTGGGGAATACTTAAAATAAATCTATGAGAACGAAATTCCGAATTCGACTACACACTTCTAACGAACTTCCTCGTACCCAAATTTACACAAATTAGCAAAAACATACATCATTCATGAGACAAATGCAACGGTAAACTAATCATATTTATCGTGTTCGCATCAATATAGCTTTCTAACAGTTATAGGATAACCTCGGGTATTCATAATATTTTTTCTCAAAGATGAAAGTTACAAACTTCTAGTCCACGGCTTTTACCAAAAAAACAAAATACCATTCACCTTAGAATGAAAAAAATCGCCTCTTTTTTTCCCCCTTTAGTTGATTTACAAGACCCGAACAAGAATCTCAACAAAATTTAGTCCCCACCACTCATAAGCCACAAGACAAAGATAAGTTCAGAACATCCCCCATTAAACTAAACAAACTATGAGGAGCCCATCAAAACAATGAAACCCTCAAACTCAAAAAATTCAAGGAACCTAAAGGACATAACCGTACGAGAACAATCAGCAACAAATTTCAACCAAATTGTACAAAACTCAAACAAAATTGAGATATGGTACAGTACCACGAATAGGGGCGGGCCAAGATCTGCCTTCAATTCGTTTGATGCCATAGACAAGTAAAGAAGCCCACGGCTGATGCATTGTTAAACATGGGTTTCGATAGTTCGATGATTCTAGGTTTCGCCTGCTACCCATGGACATGGAGTGGAGCTGAAAAATTATGACGCCTTTATCAGAAGCAGATTTAGTATTTTCTTGTTTGATTTTGAAACAAGGGGAATTGAATTTTGAGCGAGAAGATTTTTGAAGTAAGACGGGGCCACGTTTGTTGGATGTTATTTGGGCTTAATATCAAGCCCATTAGTTGTATTTTCCTAATGTCTAATTCATTATGTTGGACAAATTGAAAATTATAGAGAAATTTGCACCCCTTATTTTACAATCCTAATTATATTACAATTCTACCCTCATTATTTAATATTTATAATTGTACCAAAATACGATTTAACAGTTTAAATTAATTGAGATAATTAATTGAAAATCCTCTCTCCCTCTCTGTCTCGCTCTCTGGCTCTCTCTCATCCGTCTCGCTTCGTCTTCCTCTCTCTCTCTCCCTCTCCGTATCTCTATCTTCTTCTTCTTAACTTTATGGTTATATTCTCTCTCGCCCTCGATAGGGTTCTGGTATTCAAATCCGCCGGCGGCGAGCTGCCGGTCTCGAACTCCCTGATGGCTGCAATCAAGAGGTCCCAAGCCTACCAGAGACGCCACCCCGAGACCCTTCACCTCTACCACCAGAAGCTGAGCTCTGATTCCAAAATGTCGCCTTCGATTTTTGCAATTAGGGTGGAGATGAAGCATTTCGTGATGTCCATTTTGGATGACCCGATCGTCAGCCGGGTCCGCGGGGATGCTGGTTTCCTTACCTATGAGGTTAAGCTGGCGATTCTAAACCCTCTCACCTTGTCAAGATTTGCCTCCACTGGTTGCCGGCTACCTTCCCTGTTCCCTGAAATTTTGAGTAATTTGGAACCAGGTGTTGGTTTTCCCTTTTCCCAAACGATCGATGAGAATTCAAGGAGAATAGCTGGAATTCTCTTGAAAAGCAGTAGGAGAAATATACCAACATGTGTATGGGTTATATTTTGTATGTATATAAAATATATGTTTCATTTTTTCGGGTTATATTTTAGGTATATATACCGAGATTATGGTTTATACATTCAGTATATATACTGAATACTGAACATAAACAAAAAAATATAGACCTATTTTGTTTAGGTATAGACCAATGTTGTAGGTATCATACTTATTTTATGTTTTTAGGTATATATATGTACATAAACAAAAAATATACATAATGAACATAAACCAAATAATATATTGCTGAACATAAACCAAAAATATATTGAACATAAACCAAAAGAGTAAAGCTCACCTACCCACGGTGGGCACATGTTAATATGTCCACCGCTTATGTGGCATGCACACATTAGTGATGTATTTTTTTGAACATATTAACATCATCAATGTGTGCATGCCACATAAACGTGAGCATATTTAACATGTGTCCACCGTGGGTAGGTGAGCATTACTCAAAACGAAAAATATACTTTTGCTGCACATATAAAAATAAACTGTTGAACATAGAACAAAAATATTAAAACTACTCAATTTAGTTTTATGAATAAATACTAAAATATACTGCACATATACTTCAGAAATTCTATGGCACCACATGTGGCACCATATTATGGTGCCACAACATGATGTGGCACATTATGATTGGTGCCACAACTATCACACATCATGTGTGACACCAATCATAATGTGCCACATCATGTTGTGACACCGTAATATGGTGCCACATGTGGTGCCATAGAATTTCTGACATATACTTTCACCTGTTCAACATTATATGAAATAATCATTAATTTGAAAACATGTTGACATTTTTTTTTATGTGGGTTAGATTGATGTTTTTTTTTTTTTCTGTTGCGCCCGTAAATGATCAACGTCGGCGTTTTTTTTTTTCCGTCTGTATCAATGGAGATTATGGTTTCAAATTCAAATTTGATATCTTTCCATCTTCAATCCTGAAATCTTGCGCTACAAATATGGAATGGTTGTTTCACCTACTTGTAACTGTTTTTAGGCATGATTGTAATTAACTTTTACCTATTAAGTATACACACAATTAAATTGGTATGATTTGTATTGTTGTAATTATTTCAAAATTGTGTAGCATACACAAAAATTTCCCAAATTTTATATCTAGAGAAAATTACCCTACAGCCGAGCTAAACCAAAAATAATGGCACATCTACTATTATAATAGTTTATTGGCAAAAGTAAACAAACTCATTAAAATATTTGCAGATTTACAAAACATAATTACAGTGTAAATTATCTTTTTAGAAAATGCTACAATCCCATTACGAAACCATTCTGTCGAGATTTATAACCGTTAGATCATCACGTAACTGTTATGGATAGTTGATCTAACAGTTATAAACTCTGACGAAATGATTCTATAACGGGACCGTAGAATGAGAATCTCCCTATCTTTTTAACAAGATTTATTGTAGTAGGTTGAATTTTTTTGGATAACGGGAGGATTTAATGGGAGTGATATATCTTATGTAACTTCCCATACATTTTCTCTTTCAAAAAAAAAAAAAATAAAAAAAAAACACTCCATCAACACGCACATCAAACTCATCGTTTTCTTCTCCCTCTGAAACTTGCACTCTCGGCCTTTTTCTTTTTCCCCATTGTCATACTTCCACGAAAAAGAAAATTGCAACTGAAAATGGAGAAAATCAGTCCCCATCTTACGTCGGAAGTTGTCCTCGCGGTGAATTATATGCTCCACAATTAAAGGAGACGCTCGTGCATAAGAAGCTTCAACGAAATCGTCAACGACATCGTCAACAAAATCTCCCCGACATAGAAGCGAACACAGCGGAAGAATAAGTCCAACACTTTCGAAAAAAAAAAAAAAAAAACCCAGGTAAGATTATGATTTTGTTGAAGATGAAGAATAATAAGAAAAGCAACGAAAATCGAGATGACAGTGTAGTAAAGTTTTTCTTTCATTGATGAAGAAGATTGTTGAGTGAAGATGACAATATGACATACGAATTAAAAAACGAGAAAAGTAAATAACACAAGATTTACATGGTTCGGCAATATGCCTACGTCCACGGCGGCTGAGGGATCTTTATTATTCTCAATAGTCACAAATACATCAATACACCATGTATTTATACGTACTATAACCCTACAAGGTATTAATTTACTTAAATACCCCGTACCGTACCCCTCGCTCCACTCCGCTCACTTCGCTCGGTCGCTCCGCTTCCCTCGCTACGTTCGCTCCGTTACGCTCGCAGGCATCAGCCTGCCTCTTTCCTTTGTCAATATATGAGCCATATCAACAAAGATAATGTTCTATTGTATTTCTATCAATCTTATCATGAGATCTGTGATGTACATATTATATGAATGGCTGAGAATCTTTAGCTAGGGGATGACTAAAGGATAAGGTTAACACATGTTATCTTCTCATAGGTTAACAACTAAAAGTAATTGGGGTTTCTATTTTCTTTCTTTTCACATTGCATGCTGCCAAAACCGCAACCTTCACGTGCTTTATTCTCCACATGGCCATGCCACCTCAGTTTCCTTTTCTCTCTTGACTCATTGTCCACATCAGAGTCCATGTCGACGTGTGCATGCTTTTCAATATGCCCCCTCAATTCTTTGCATGAGTGAGGAAACAACTTTAACTTGTTTCTGAAGTATGTGAAGAATTGTCCTGTTAAAGCTTTAGTGAAAATATCAGCTACTTGCTCTGTGGCAGGTATTTGTTGCACTGAGGCCACCTTTTTCTCTATCTTTTCTCTTATGAAATGCAAGTCTAACTCCAAATGTTTAGTCCTTGCATGATTCACTGGATTTGCAGCAAGGCAAACAACTCCTCGATTATCAACCCAAATGGTACTTGGCTTGAGAAATTTTACTTTCAATTCAGACAAAAGAGACTGTATCCAAATTATCTCACAAGCAATCTGTGCCAAACTTCTGTACTCTGATTCAGTGGATGATTTGGAAACTAAAGCCTGTTTCTTAGAACTCCATGATATCAAATTGTTTCCAAGGTAAACACACATGCCTGAAGTTGACCTCCTGTCATCAGGATCTGATCCCCAATCAGAATCATAGAAACCAGTAAGATTGAAGAGAGTGCATTTTTCTATTTTCAGTCCAAAGTTCTTGGTTTCTGCTAGGTATCTGAGAATTCTTTTAACTGCTTTCCAGTGGGTGTCAAGAGGTTCTTGCATGAACTGACATACCTTATTGACAGAGAAAGATATATCTGGTCTTGTTAAGGTACATATTGTAATGCACCCACAATCTTCCTGTAATGATGTCCATCTGCCATAGGTTGTCCAGTGAATTTTGATAGAGGTGGAGATGAAATCATGGGAGAGTTTAATCCTTTTGCCCCCTTCATCCCAGCTCTATCTAAAAGACTATCAATGTACTGAGACTGATCCAGTATAAGGGAGCCATTTGAATGAGTGACATTGATACCCAAGAAGAAGTGTAAAGGACCAAGGTCTTTGAGAGAGAAGTGAGCTGCTAAGGAATTAATGAGAAGTGACAATTCAGAGGAGTTGTTGCCAGTAAGGATGATGTCATCAACATATACCAAAAGAAAGATAGAACTTTGAGCATTGTGTCTGAAGTATAGAGAAGTGTCAGCTTGAGAAATGGAGAAGCCAAGAGACTGTAATACTGAGCTAAATTTGGATGTCCAAGCTCTAGTGGCTTGCTTCAATCTATAGAAAGATTTGGACAGTTTACAAACTAGATGTTCTTGACCATGAACTTCAAAACCAGGGGGTTGATGCATGTATATATCCTCAGTGAGAGTGCCATTTAAAAAGGCATTATCAACATCAATTTGTTTGAGTTCCCAACCAAGAGTTATGGCAATGGAAAGAATGATTCTAATAGTTGTTGGTTTAACAACTGAACTGAAAGTTTCTTTATAATCTAAACCAGCATCTTGGGTATAACCTTTGGCCACTAACCTGGCCTTGTACCTAGCAATGGAGCCATCAGGATTAGTTTTGACCTTAAACACCCATTTGTTGCCAATGATCTTCCTGTCATGTGGTGAAGGAACTAAT